TTTTTTTTTTTTTTTTATGAAGATAGGATCTCCCTGTAGCCCCAACTGCCTCTGCCTTTGATTGCTGGGACTACCAACGATTGTCACCATTCCTGTCTGTCTTAGTATTACAGACTAAAAGCATAGTTCATTTGGATCAAAAAGACGTAAGGAAATTCCTAAATCTTTTATCAGTGATAAAGAGTATAAAAAAGAGAGTGCTGATTGTTTTATTTTATAGAGCAATTAGATTTGTATTAAGGATTAAATCTTGGGATTAGAGAGATGACTCAGCAGTTAAGAGCACTGACTGCTTTTGCAAAGAACCCATGTTCAGTTCCCAGCATCCACATGGTGGCTAAAAGCTGTTCATAACTCTAGTTCTATGGGATCCATGACCCTGTCTGACCTCCATGGGCATTGCATGACCTGGACACACCTACAGACATACAGGCAATGCACTCATACACATAAATAAAATTTTTTTAAACAAAGCATTAGATCTTATGTAGTATCTGGCATGATTTAAATTTAAAGGAAGAAGATATTACTTGAACTTGCTTTGAATTTGTTGACCATTTCATTAAAATCGTAACCGTAGTCTAAAAACAAAAATTTTGTCCACAAATTATTCAGTGACTTCATTTTTATAAAATAGATTGTTGGGTTTATATTTTTCAGGTCTTGCCTTTTCAATGAAAGTTTCTGTCATCAAATTTCAGAAAATATTGGTTCTAAGGTGGTCCATCTTACACTGCTCCGATTTTTCTTCAGTTTAGTTGAAAGTGAAGTGCGGCATTTGTGTCAAAAGTAAGTGTTAATCCCAAGAAACATACTTATCTATATTTCTGTATTTTTACATGACATGTACACAAGTGATTATAAACACAGTATATATCTATATATATATTTACGTTACCTTCTTTATGTTTTAAAGTAGGGCTTCGTTTTTGTTAATTTTCAGATACGACCTAAAAATTAAAGATGTGTTTCTCTCCTTTTTCTTTTTTCTCAATTCATATTTTTATTTATTTCTTTTCATTTGGATGATTTTTTTCAGGATTTATATATTTTTATTTACTAACTCGATATCCAAGTAAAAAACTGTACAGGCTTAAATACTAAATTAATAACACTTGGGGTAACTTCTGCCTATGCTCTAAAACTTGTATGTGTTACTGTTTTCTTTTAACTGAGGCAATTTTTATTTCTCTGTGTGTATGAATGTTATGCCTGCATGTATATAAGTGTACCCATGCTGTGCAGTGTCCACAGAGGACAGAAGAGGGCATCAGATCTCCTGGAACTGGAATTTTGGATGATTGTTAGCTTCCATTTGGGTGCTAGCATTCCATCCCCGGTTTTCTGCAAGAATAGCCAGTGCTCTTAACCGCTGAGCCATCTCTCCAGCCCCTAACAGAGGCCATTTTGTGTTTGTGCTCATATGTGCATGTTTGTGTGTGTGTCTGTGTATTCACATGAGAGTATATAGAGCCCAGAAGTTCAACCTTGAGTGTTGTTCCTCATGAGCTATTCATCTTGTTTTTTGAGACAGGGTTTCATTGTCCCATGGAGCTCACAGACTGGCTGACCAGTGAATCCCAAGGACCAGTTTTTGTCTCTGTGTTCCCAAAACTGGGACTGAAGTGTATACCACACCACCATGCCTGGCTTTTTTATGTGGGCTTTGGTGATCAAACTTATTCATAAACAGTAATAAATTTGCCTCCTGGGATACTTAGCTTATGAGACCATTTTTTTAATATATTGTCCTTTATTATATGCTGTAATATTTATATGTTATCACCTTTCAATATTCAAAACTGGTAGCATTTTTTTTTGTCCTACAAGAGATAAGTCTAGTAACTGCCATTGTTAAACTAGCATAATTAATTTTTGTTCTTATTTTTATTAGGTTGTCTGACTGGTCAGATTCTCAGAGTCTGAAAATAACAGGAAAGGCAATTCTTCTTGAACTCTTTTGGTCAGGAAGTGAAACCTCGGGGCTTTTGACGAAACCAGTATATATGCTTTTGGAATGGACTATATATTCTCACAAGGAAAAATGCAAGTCTAATGATGTAAGTAGGATTAATTCAGACTATGTTTGGTACTGCAAATGATATGTAGGTGATCTATAGATGATCTAAAACATATGGGAGGATATAAATCACATACAAGCACTGCACCATTTTACGTAAGAGACTTGAGCATCTATAGATTTTTGGTATCTGCAGATTTTGATATTGGAGGTGTGGCCTAGAAGCAATCTCCTGCAGATTTTGAGAGTTGGCTGCTCTTTGAAGTAGCAGATGTTTTCCTCTTCCTTTTATGGTTTGAATTCTTTGAAAAATTGAAATGAACCCACATATATGTTTTCTGAATATATACTATATATGTACTTGCTTAGTAAAAGTCTTTAGAGTTCTCCTTCATCCTTCATTTAGACATAATAACTTGGAAGTTATTTGATCAATGTTTTGAAGTTTATAATTACCATTATAATTTTTAATTTTTATAGATTCTACTTGGTATGGAAATTGTGATTGAAATATTAGTCAATTCATGCAGTTTTGGAGAATACAATAATAAAAAGTTTTGTCTTTAAAACTTTCTAGATGTTGATAGTTACTGAAATATTTCTTTATAATTTTTACCTGTCATTGAAATTTAAATCATATTGAACTGAGTGTGTTATCTATTTGTGGAGCATTCTAGAAAATTAAGTACAGTATAACAGTTTATAAAAGGTTAATTTGTGTCCCAATGTAAATATAAATGAATAGTTATACAAAATTGAAATATGTAGTGAAGAATTTTAAAGAAAATTAAGTCACCAAAAATTAATGATAGACCATCCAATCATTTTTAGTTGAACCATGCTATAAAAAAGTTAAAAAATTAAGGATATACCCAGAAAACATTGCAACAGAAAAGATACACTAAAGGTTTATATTCATAACACATGAATATTTTCTACTAATAAATAACAGTAGAAAAAACAAGTTTATTAACAGGCAATAGAAAATTATTAGAAAAAATTATTAATAGATAATCCATGGACAAGTAGAAGTATTTTTAAATCTTGAATCTCTTATTTATTGATAAGAATGAAAATTTAAAAGCATGAACATTTGTATACCTAGCCCTTGTAATATCCTAGCTACTCTAAGCACTCTTATAATTTTCTCATATATTCCTTACAATATCCTATGACTTAGAACTATTGTTTTTCTAATTATATGTGTAGGAAAAACTAAGAAAAACTAAATAATTTTTTTAATTCTGAAAATAAATCTTTTTGTCTTCAAAACCCGAGCCCTGATCTAATCCTAGACTTTAAGATACTGGTCTTTCTGTTAGCTGAGTTCACTATCATTTTCTCTCTCTGCTTCTTAAAACTTACAAGTAATTTATAGTATCTTATATTTATTAGGATGCAAAGGGAAGAGTTCATTTTGTCTGTAGGAGATAAATTTTGAAGTATCTTTAAAATATCGTACCTACATATGCCATAGCAACACTTGTACACGTACAAATGAAAGTATAATAATGTGCTATAGAGATGTAACATTGGTGTGAGGTTAGTAGCAGCTTGTTTTTGTGTCTTAGTCAGCAGTAAAATTATGAAATTATATACCGGTCTCTTTTAGTACTCTGCATAATTGTAATAGCAGGATGAATTTGGTCTAGATAATTTGACAAGGAATAATGCCCATTGCATATTATTAACTTGAGGGAAAAATGGAAAATTACAGAATAATTTGAGTAGTAATGTTGTATGAGAATAGAAAGAAAAAACAAAGTACAATGCAATCAATTATGGCATTTTGGGGGTGCATCATAAGAAATATTAGTTTTCTTTTACCTTTCACAATAATGATATTGGGGCTTTATTATCTACATTTTTGTATTATTAATTCTTCATTTTAATTATGGTCTGATTTTTTTAAAGTATTTTCTATTGTCAAATTTGATTTCTCCTTTAATATGTTGAGTGATAGGGATTGTTTCCTAAATTCTAGGCAAGCACTCTGCCACTGAACAGTGACTCCAGCCCTCAAGAGATAGGTATTTTGAATTTTGCAAATAGACGGGGTTTTATTGTTGTGAATGAGTTTTGTTTGTTTGTCTATGCTTGTCTTTCATAATATTTTTTTCAGTATTTTATTTTATTATTTTATGTGTATGAGTGTGTTGCCTGCATGTATGTGAGTGAACCCATGTTGTGCAATGCCCCGGAGGTCAGAAGAGAGCTTTGGATTCCCCCGGAACTGGAGTTAAGAACGGTTTGTAGCCTCCATGTGGGTGTGGGAATTGAACCCGGGTCCTCTGCAAGAGCAGTCAGTGCTCTTAACCGCTGAGATATCTCTTATAGTGAAATATTGTGCCTTTCTGCTTTCTGTAATTTACTGACCATTTCTCTTTCGCCTTAATGAGATTAGGTGCCAAATGTGTTTCCTCTGTAGATTATAGTGCTCTCCATCACCTACTAGTTCAAGCTTAATCATCTTTGTAGATTAATTTTTCATTTGTTTTTTAACAGCTTTGCTTTATATATGGCAGTGACACCCTCATAATTGATATGTCATCCTAACTGGTAATTATAATGCCATAACCAGCAATTATGTAATATGTTCTTCAGGGGCAGTAAACATAGTTTGTTAAGGTAGAGAACTCATTTCAAACTGGCATAAAGCCTAATCTGTCTTAAAGAAAAGAATCCCATTCAGTTTCTTTTAAGATATTTTTTCATATCTGTTTATTCCTTCTATTATTTAAGTTTCAGTTAAACCTATATTATAATGTCCTACATTCTCTCTTTCTCTTTCTCCCTCTCTCTCCCTGTGTGTGTATGTGTGTGTGTGTACTTTTCTATACTTGTAAAATTTCTGAAACTGCTTTCATAGAATTTTTAGTTTACTAATTCTCTTTAACTGTGTCTAAAGAGAATTCTCAAGAGAGATGTATTTTGAACATTCTTATTGTATTTTTAATTTTTGTATTTTTCCTACTCTAGACCTTTTTTGCTTGCTACTATGTTTTATGTGTTTCCAGTACCCTAGAAAATATTCAGTTTTCTTGGTTTTTTGGGGGGCGGTTGAGGGGCTTTTTTTGAGACAGGTCTCCCTGTAGCCCCAGCTGGCCTGAAACTCAATAGGTAGACCTGGCTGGCCTTGAACTCAGAGATCCACCTGCCTCAGCTTTCAGAGCACTGGGATTAAATGTGTGTGCTACCACACCCAACAGTTTTCTTGTCTTTGAACCTTATAATAATAGTTTTTGTTTGTTTGTTTGTTGTTTGATTTGTTTGTTTTTGAGACAGGGTTCTCCCTATAGCCCCATCTGACCTGGAACTATGTAGACCAGGCTGGCCTCACACAGAGATCTGCCTGCTTCTACCTCTGTCTACCAAGTGCCAGGATTAAAGGTGTGTGCCACCACACCTGGATGAATAATAGTTGTTTTATAATCTATATCTGCTTATTTCCATATCTGAGGTTCTTTTGGATCTGCTCCTGTTATTTCTGTTTTCTCCTCATGTGTGTGTGTGTGTGTGTGTGTGTGTATGTGTGTGTGTGTGTGTGTTTTCCCTCTTACAGTTTTCATTTTCTCTCCTGTAGTAGTAGTTATAGTCTGCTGTATGTTTTAGTTTCCATTTGAATTTGTAGAAACAATTTGTGGCACAGACCAAAATTTCTTCAGAAAGACTATTCCTTCTTTGTGCCAAAGGCCTGTGTGTAGTAGGAGTGAAGGACTACTCTAATGCAGAGTCCATGAAGATAAACTCTGAACAACCCAGGTGAAGAAAAAGACTAAGTGTGTGTAGTTTTACTTTTATTCACTCTTACTCCTAGAGTAAAGCCCTCAGGTTCTTGGCCTATTGTGAATTAAGCCTCAGGCCATGACGTCTTTTTTTGCCCATTTTCTCTTGATTCTAAAAGCTACATTTCTATATTACTACCCTATAAATGTTTAGAGCAAAGTTACCTTGTTTTGAGGGTTTTGCTTGGATTTTTGCTTCCTGGGCATCATCCCATTGCAGTTTCTCATAACTTTTCTGGGCCTGGCCTGCTGCTTCTGGGCCTGGCCCCCTTTCACCTCCCTCTGCTTCCCTGGGCCTGCACCACCGCCAGCCTCTTTCTGGGAATCAGAGGCTGGCCTTTCCTCTTCCTGATCCTTTACATACAGACCAACCCAGCCCTCAATGCAGTCTTCAGGAGTCCTTGGGGCCTCTTCCCACCCCATCGGCCTTTGCATCTCTGGATGGCAAGGCCACCAGCTGCTCTAGACCAGCATCTTTCCTGGGCCAGGCTCCCAGGCCAGTCCAACCCCCAAATTCATGAGGCCAAAATCGTTCCTGGAGGGATCCAGACCTTAGGAGAAAGCCTGAAAGCATCTGATCCTCGTCTGACTTGGGCCTCTGTGGGAACTCTTTATATTGAAGCCATTCCAATATAAAATCAAAAGAGAGAACTGGAAGTTTAGATGAACTAGCTTTTCATGCCCAAAACGTAAACCACAAAGACACATAAAGTTCACAAAAAGAAGCAGACCTAAACTTGAAGGCCTGAGTCTCACACAACAATCAGAAACTACAAAAGAAACTCACATGTCATAATCACAGAGAAAAAATAATAACATGAAAAACCAAAATAATATATCCCACCAATTACCAATAGTCCTCTAGTGGAGTACCCCCTAGAGATAATGCAGGACATGGCACTCAAAAGAACAATTATAAACATGATAAAAGAATTCAGTGAATTTAAAGAACACACAAAAAAAGAAATCAAAGAAATGAGGGAGATAGGGATAAACTTCTGAATGAATTCGGAAGAGTTAGAAATATTGAAGAATATTCCTTCTTCAGGCTGAAATGAAGAAGGAAGTGAAACACTCAGTAAGCCAATTAGAAATGACGGGAGAAAGCCTCACCAATAGGATGAATGAAATGGAAAACAGAGTATCAAGACTGGAAGAAAAAGTGGACGAACTAGACCACACAAGCAAAGATTATGAAAAATTTAAGAAATCAGAATAGAATATGCAGGAATTGTGTGGCACCATAAAAAGACCA